GCTGACCGACATGCCCAAGCTCCGGCGCGATATAGTCCGTGCGCGGCGAAGACCATCAATCACCGAACCGCCGCGAACGGATGTTGCTGTTGCGGTATCCGTAGATTTTGGCGTCCTACTTGGGCCGTTCGACACATCCAAGGTCGTCGACGCCGTCTGATGGTGCACAAGCCCTGCATCGCTCCACGTGGTTACCGACGCCATCGAATTGGAATTGAACGTCGTACTAGGCTGCGGATTATCAGAGCCCGTGAGTCTGTTATTCTCCATATCGGGAGATGGAATACTAATCGTATATAGAGGCAGGGAACCTTCAGATAGACTATCTAAATGGTCAGAATTGATAAGGCCAATGTAATTACCTTTCTCCTCGTTCGTTCCTATTGGTTGTTCGCCGCTGTGATATAGCAGCACTCTGGCCGATGATAAGGGTGTGTTCAACGGCTTCGTGTAGGTCGGCATGATGAGGAGAGCTTGTGGATAACTGATTGGCGTTGCTTTCCTCGTCTCAGACACTGTTGCATCTGAAGGTGTCTGACATTGAAATAATGGCCTATACGTACACCATGTGCTGGTAGACTGGGGAGGGCTATCCCCTTTAAGAGGGCTAAGCTGTACGGTTGCCGTTCCCGCGGTACCTTGATCGGTGCCAACCCCCATTCTTGGATCACTATCCGTCATGCTATGATGGGAGACCGCCCATGTTGATTTCTTGGATGTGGAAGTGACGTTTTCAAAGGAGTCTAGACTGGACGTCTCTAAATCGAATACAAGCGCCCCGTTTGTTGATGGTGATGAGGGATCCACGTTCAAGTTTGCTATTAAGGTCATTGTATCCATGATGCTTGTTCTGAATTCTGGAATCAAGTTACTTTTACTCGTCAGGTCGACTGAAACGAATCGTGAAGCAGTGGGGTCTTGTTTTGTCTTGAAGATCGTAGTTGGGGGCGGTTCCGGCACAGGTTCCCGCACTATCGACAGGACACCGAATATAGCATTATCATGATCGCGCCTACTGGTGGAGGGACGACTAGGCCGCGAGCTAGAGGAGACTGCCCGACTGAAGGAAGTGGGATGGAGAGAAACAGTCGTCCTCGTCTGTAGGTCTGGAGTCTCTTGTTTGTCTTCTGGCACTTTTGATGCAGGGTACTTTGTGCTCAATATCACCGGCTGCACGCTCGATGTTTGCCGTGTACTGTGTTGGATGTGACCAGGTTGTTGAACTGTAATTGCCTGGGTGGATGTGCTAGTCCTAAGCACTAAGGGCGAGCCAAAGGACGGTGAGATTCGGATTGCCGAACTTTCCTGCCATAGTACCCTGTTTGCAATATTAGGGTTACCGTTCAAATTATCTTCTTATTCATTTGGCAAACTGACTCTGTCTGTAGAGGTAAGTTCGTTGAAAAGGCCTCTAGCCCACTGCCCAATAACAAAACAACAATGGTGAGCCATCCTGCTGCCATGGTAGTATACAATTGGATGGTTGGATGTGGGCCACTTGGATAATCATTAGTAAAAAAACATAAGTTACATTCAGATATTCTCCATGATACGGATTTCGTTAGGAACGGCTCGAGCATATGGCAGTCCGCGACTTTTTTTGAGGTCGGGTTAGCAGTAACCTTACATAATGCAGGCACTGTCTATAATCTACCACAGGGGATACCGGATATTTATGGCTACGAATGCGCCAAGTCACTCAGTGAAAATCGGAGTCTCTGAATTAGTTGAATTTAATCCATGTATGGAAGGATCAATCAGAAAAGTAACATTCTTCTTGGGCGTTTCTACCCTCACTATTCGTAATGTATGGCCTGACCCTCATTAACAGCATTAATTTCTTTTTGATGTGTACTCAGGACCAACAAACTTAGAGTTTGAAATTATGATGAGGACAAAGTTTGCCCATTACATAACAGATTGAGTTTATATTTCATGTCCCGAAGAGACCTTGAAATGGGCCTATGGGATACACATAAACCCAGCAAAAAGCCAAGAAAATAAAGGGAAGAAAGGGATATTGTAATAGAAGTTCCGTGTGGAATATAGCTCCACAATTTTAGCTGTCTACACGCGCTGCTACTTATAGTGCACAGACACGTTCTATCGCATTATCCTGTTTCTGCGCCGAATAAAGTCTCACTCGTGGCGGTGGTCTCCTGTGCAGTCACTGCATCCATTCTTGTCCATCCATGTTGCTATCCCTTCCAAGGATCATCTCCTTGGTCTTATCGTCCACCGTTCGAGTTTGTTTCGCCGTGATCTTTTCGGCGTGTACATCGCCGACTTCTGTTCAAGAGTTGTCATTGCCAAAGATACGGATATGGTTGATGTGCATGTACACGGCTAACTTACACCCGAAGGTGAATGTGAGTGGAATCCGGAACCCAGAACACCTAAATGAGCTTCGATCGCTCGCCATTCATAGTGGACAGAATTCTTCGTCATCTCTAGACCTAGGATATCTTTCAGACAGCGTTTCGGAAGCTGTTGGCGATGTGGTAGACCACATAAGCGGGCATGTTGAGGACCAGCCCAGTCATATCCAATATCTCCTCCCATAATACTATGCAATTGGCCCCTGGAGCTACTCCGAGGGAAAATCAAACGATAAAGCCCTCTCAAATTGCTCAAAGCCCAGTGCTCACTTCTCGTTCGACCCGATAGATGTTTTAGGCACTAGGCTGGACCCTGCAGATTGAGTAACGTCAGACTCGAACCAACCTGTTCTGAAAGGGTACGACCACATTTCACACTGGAGCATAGATGCCTATATCATTAGTTTTATTGCCGCTCATGTTGCGATTGTCATAGGTTTCGTCCGATTTCCAATGACGAAAGTAGCCGTTGTGATATCCTCATCGGCAAGTGCTACCTAAGCGTCTTCGTATGAGAAAAAGTGCTGACTAGTGCCCAGGTGTCATCTCTCTTGATTGTAGGAGCATCAGTATCGGTGACCATCTTATACCAGCTATTGGCTAAGGGAATCGATAGACTTCTTCAACATGAAATCACGGCTCATCTCGGTCCACATGCCATGGCAGCGACGTGGCTGGCAGTAGCATTCTCCGCTGGCTCCAATTTGGTCTTGGCTATTGAGATGTGTTCCTGCTGTCTGTAGCTTCTGTGGTTATTATTTGGCCATTGGTAATCGATATTGGTAGCCCACGCGTGCTAGATTGTAGTAACAAGCAGTGATGCCGTCGCTATCGCGAGTTGTGTCTTTAGCCCCAGGGGACAATGCATTTTCTTTCCTAGGGAATAAAATACAAGCTATCAGAAAATGCTAAGCCTCCTTTCGAGAATGAGTGCGTAGGCGGCTAAGGAAGTCCCTACCAAACTTTAAGCTTTTAGCAGCTAGCTTGCGTTTATCTAGTAGGTGTTTTTACGACTCAATATCTTCGTAAGATCAGCCACGGTATGCTGACACCTGCTAGATTGTATGTCCTAACCCACTTGTTCTGAACAAATTCAAAGAACAGGTTTCGTCAGGCTTGCTATGTTAAGTCGTTAACGTGCATAGCTTCCGCCACTCTACTACAATGCGGAGAGTCGGCTTCTGCCTTTGTCGGACATACACAATGCTCAATCTGGGAGTTATTGGCAGAAACTGCTCTAAATACACTTATACTTTTATCCTAACCTATAATTGGTCTCCAGTGCCTTTCTACGTACAGGTCGGTCAACCAGTTATTTGAAGCAGATGCGCCACAAGATAATATAAAGCGGACCATCAAGGCCCGCCAGCCCCTCAGCATCAAAGAAACCAAAGAAAGGAGACGAGGACAACAGCAGCCAAGAGAAATGAGACTCCACCACCACGGGCCTGCGTTCCTGTACCCGTGAGCATAGTTGAATTGGCCGACGGTGTTTGAGCCAGCGTGGGTGCTGTGGGGCCAGGATGGGTCATCTTTGCACTCGGCAAAGCGCCGACGCTCCCTGAGCTGGTCTTGGAAACCCAGAGTGCACTGTGTGCGGAAGAGATGGCCACAGTACTATTGCGGAAGAAAAGACGGCTGATATTTCTCCACGGCCTGCTTTCCACTGACACTGAGATGATAGGCGGATAAAAGTTGGTAGCCGATGACGACGCATTGGCGTTCACTGTGGTCGTACTATGCCTCTCCAGCTGAGCTGTAGAGCAGCACATCACTGACGATGTTTCGTAAACCTTCAATCGAACTGCTGCAATAGGATCATTGGCACGGAAAGCTGGTTGAGCAATCGTAGGATTCACCCTGGCAAGAGCGGCCATGGCACCATCCCGGGACATCTCCGTCAAGGATACGTTGCGTATGTACGTATTCGATTGGACCCTAGTCACCGAGTCCGCAGGCAAGATTTGAATATGTATTATTGCCAGGTATACGGTACATGCAGTGTCGACACCTGCAATGTTGACGAAGGCCGAGGAAATGCACTCTTATACTCGCTATTTTTTAGAACAGACTGTTGGGCGCCATAAGGGAATTTAAAAGAAAATCAATTTTGAGGGATCAGCAGATATGGCCTCATTTAAAGATTCTGCTGTGTTGTCTGCTATGTAGTACGTAGGTGGTGGCATCTGGCATCTAGATGTCCACGCATGGTCCACGGCTTTCGCCACGACAGAATGCCCATCAAAAGATCGTCGAATTCATCTGCTTTCATATCAAGTTTATTTACTAGAAAGATAAAAGTGCTCGTACGCTATATGACAAGTTGTTAACAAAAGCTGTAATGAGCCGTTTGCCTCTTCTCCCTTGTGTTCCCTGTATGTACTGTAACAACTGGTAATACCATCCTGGTTCACAAAGCTATTTGATTACTCGAGTGTAGAGCTCCTTCCGCATTATTACGAGGTAAGTTGAACAGAAATCTAGGAGTGGTCAAATTTGACCGCAAGTCCAAGCAAACTACCCCGGTGAGTGGTCACAGGAAACAGGTGTGGGTCACGGCTGCCAGGAGTTGACCAGAACGTGCTGCAGTCTAGCAGCTACTCCAACCCATATTATCGTGACGCCGTGTAATTCTTTACTATAGTTCAATTGTCCGTGATCAAGCATTACTATACACGGGGCACCTCTTTGAACGGGCATATGGCAGCAGTAGTACTTTGCACACTCATGAAAGCGGCGGTCAAGTGTGGTGGTAGCCGCCCGAGGCACACTTTCCTCCATGTCCGAAGGTAGCAGGCGGTCGAAAAACCCCGGACATTCAAGACACCAGAAAAATAACCAGGCGGGAGCGCATTAAACACCCCTCTGTGTCAGGGCGCTCCTCCTCA